TGAAACAAGTAAGAAACCTCAAATTTAGCTAATGTTCTCAAAAGAAGTTCTCTTGTCTGATCCACTTCTTGCATATTCCATAAGCCAAAGTTTTCTCCTCTCTCACAACTTTACTTATTTTATGACTCTTGGAGTGATTTCTGGTGTAGATCTCCAAATAAATTAAATCTGACATTTTCTATTGGATATATGCTAAATACCTCCACCTGCTGTTAGAACCAGGAACTCATTTTGTAACTACTTTATAGCATGAGTATAACAACGCTACTAGGAATTGCTATAAAGATAGAAAAACTCCCGCTGTCCAATTCTAACAGTACCATTCCTTCAAGAGCGCTAATATTCTTATTTAAGAAAAAAAAAAACCTGGGGCCCAGTGTGGTGGCTCAGTGGCAACTCACCTTGCATGAGCCCAGACCCCAAATGGGAGCCGGTTTTTGTCCCAGCTGCTCTACTTCCAATCCAGCTCCCTGTTTGTGGCCTGGGAAAGCAGTAGAGAATAACTCAAGGTCTTGAAACCCTGCACCTGCATGGGAGACCTGGAAGAAGCTCCTGGCTCCTGCCTCTAGATTGGCTCAGCTTGGGGAGTGAACCAGCAGACAGACAATTTTTTCCTCTCTGTCTCTCCTTCTCTCTGTAAATCTGCCTTTCCAATAAAAAAATCAATAAATCTTTAAAAAAATAAATAAAAAGGAAAAAACCTTTTCTTTTCAGGAATACTGAGTCTGTCTAGATCACTCACAAATGCCATCAAGATATTTCCTTTCTGAACAGATCACCAACAGTAGCTGTCTGTCGCTGTTCTCAGTGCTTGACATTTATCTTGGAAAACATACTGTTTTATTCTTTAAGCTTTTTATTTTGTGGTACTTATAGATTCATATGACATTTAAAAAACAATAAGTACAAAGACATCCTAAAACACTTCCTCCCTTTAGCCCCAAGAGTAACACAAGGGCACTTCAAACTCTGTGGGGGAATGAGGTTAAAACCTAGCTTTATTTTGGTGAAAACAGTTTTGAAATTCATCATGCAAAAGTTCCTCAAAAAGTTCATGGAAATATACATTATGAAAAACGTCATTAATCATTCTTAATGCTGAATAATAGTATTATCATGAGAGCATTTCCACTGTTTTAATATATTTTCCAGTGGTCTCAATTATATTCAGAGAACATCAACATTTTAGCAACTACAAATGAGATGTACAAAATAAGCACCAAGGGAACTTACCTGTTCTAAGTTACTTCTGAACACTGGAGATTTTTTGAGCTGTCCAGTTTCCACAGTGATACATCAATGACTGAGCTAGATTTTATTTTTTAAATTTTCATGGTACAGTTCCATGAGCACAGGGATTTCCCCTCTCACCCTCCCCATTCCGTTCTCCACTACAGTAATATAGTTCTTGGGCAACAGTCACAAGTCCATAATTCTGTTATGTAAGTGTATCATGACACTGCAGGTATAGACAATAGTAGAAAATTCAGCATCCTATTGTTAAGGTATATTTAACAGCGTCATTGCGAGTTCTCCTTTTATTCAAGGGTAGAGCTGCTTACTGCAACATATCTTCACTTATACTAATCTCCATTATACACTTTCCCTAGGTGTATATATCTTGTATTTTGCATAATTGTTGCAATTTTTTGTACATTTTACTAATTTATTTGAGAGACATTGACCAAGAGAGGGAAATAGAGATTTGCCTTTCATCAATGGTTTACTTCCCAAATGTACACAATAACTACAGCTAGGTTAGCCCAAAGTCAGGAGCTGAGAATTCAGTCCTGTGTTCCCATCTCACACAATGGGAATTCAACTACTTGGGCCATCACCTGCTACTTCCCAGGGTGGACATTAGCAGGAAGCTGAAATGAGATGCAGACCCAGGACTTGAACTCAAGCAGTCCAAGATGGGGATGAAAGCATTCCAAGCAGTGTCTTCACCAAATGCTCACCACTAGATTCATTTTTTAAAGTAAAAATTACAATCACATCAATGCTTTTTTAGATGATGTTTACGTAGTTGATCAGGGTGGGAAGGTTCAAAGTTCAGGGAAAAGTGGGGTGTGACCATTGTTTCCAAAGTTTCTATTTCTTCTGGCTTCTTGGGGGAAGGAAAAGAAAGGGGGGAGAAGCTATACTCAGTCTCCCAATTGTCCTAGTACCCAGGGATGGGGAACAGCCACCAGACATCAACCCAGGGTTCTAATGTGGTTCACACTCCAAGGGTTGTGCTCAGGTGGTTTCAGCAGTTCTAAAACGTTACTGATCTCACCAATCCAACGATGAGGGAATGTTTTCAATGTCCATTGGCTGGCATAGTCGATCTTAGAGTCTCCGTATGCCCAGATATTTGCTGTCATCAATTGGCTGGGGTATTTATCCAATATCTTCCCTCCTTCCTCTGGCATGATACCAGATGTACTCTAAAGGCCCCAATGGGTTGCCATGTCATCCATGTGGATCTGTCCTTTCCACTGAGGAGGTTCTGTCTATTATTCTGTCCTTTCCACTGAAGAGGTCCAGTTCTCACAGGCAGACCTCAAGATCCCCGACCCCTAGGGCTCATGAACCTGGCACCCATGTACAGGCAGGCTCAAAGACCTGAACCTGAAGACCCAGAACCCACCAGAACCCCTCTCCCAGGGCTCATTGAACCAGCACCCACCTCCCCAAGACTGGCATGGCTTGTCTCACCTTGGCTTCCACTAGCGTGTGCTGTAGCTGGTTCAGTCCAGCCTGCCCTCCATTGCACCTCATACTGATGGGTGCTGCAGCCTGGCCAGGTCCAGCCAGCCCACAGTCCTAACCCTAATATAACTGGATAGTGTTGTGACTTGACCTTCCTGAAACCTGTTCCAGTTCTCAGATCTGCCAGCGGATGTTAACAACTGGCCCAGCTTGTTCTGTCCCAAGACCTGACCCACATGTATGCCAGTAGGTACTGTAATCTGGCATGGTTGACTTTGTCTGCCTCTTGTCCTGGCAGGAACAGTGCCCATGCTCAACCAGCCCACACCCATTCTGGTTCTTACTGTTGGGTGTTGCAGCCAAGCCATACCTGGTCCATGCCCAGATATAACTCTCATGTGGTTCAGAGGAAACCAAAACCTAGCCCAGCCAGTTCTACACCTATGCTGACTCTCACAAGTACCAGTGGGTGCTGGAGTCTAGTCCAGTAAGGTAATCCCAGACCCACTTCATACCCATGCCAAGGGAGCTATATCCAGCCAAGCCCACTGCCTTCATTCCAGCTCTGACACTCACTAACCCAGCTGGTGCTTCCCCTTAGTTCCCCAATCAGGCCTGTTCCTAGCCTCAGATATCATGCATACCAGCAGAGATTATTGTTCCACAGAGAACCCATACTCCCTCACAGCTTCTGCCCCCACATCTGATTCATTCACATGTTGGTTAATGTCATGGCCCAGCCTCATATTTCCCATTCCCTGTTCCGACTCTAACTGGTGAGTGCCATGATCTGGCCCTGCCAGGCAGGCCCCCAGTACTGGGGTCCCTGGAGTAGGTGAGGATGACATCAAGGTGTGAAGAGGACAGTTCCCCTGTTTGGCAGGGTCCAGGGGAGCTTCTGGCTGCATGGCAGGGCTGGGCGGATGTCTCTACAACCACATGAACACAATTCTACCTCCCTTTGCATGAACACCGGACCACCCCACTGAGAATTCTGCAATCTACTGAGGCATTGAGGCATTGTTGTTTGGCCCTGTGAGATGGTTTTTACAACCAATGGGAGCTTGGGAATCCCTGGTAATGTCTGGGTGAATGGGCCTTTAGCAATGTATGCTGTCTTAGTTGCTCTTATGACCTTTAGCTGGAAGAATGTTTGTACTAACATCATGATACATGCTTTCAAACTAACTTAGGGTTATTGAGTCCATAGTTCTAGTGGGAATTTATGTTAGTACTTTTTCTGTTTCTGATCTTTATCTTTTCCCCTCTGTGATATATTTTCTCCTCTAACTGATAAGTTGTAGAATGAGAATTGTAGTAGGAGTGTATTACTGATTAGTATGTGTTGTCTACTGAGGAATTCCTTGCTGCAACATCAGAATAGATAATGCCCTGCCTTAAGGTGAAACAATTTGCAGAATTATCTTTGGAAGCACCCACTTGTCCATTGTAGAGTTGAAATCAAAATGAAGTAAACATGGCTCATTGCTAACTGCAATTCTTTTTACCTTTATAACGCCTGCTTTACCTGCTAGGCTAACAAACTGTGTCAGCTTGCAGGCCTAATGGCCAACTAGTGCCAATGGTCCAAATCCCCATAGACCAAGGCCCCACCCAGACTTATTAACCCATAGATAATCCAAGTTTGGGGTCTAGTTGTCACAGGCGGCACCAAGGTTGGAGCCCAGACCTGAGGAGAGCAGGCAGGGGCTGGCAATCCAAGATAAGCAAGGAATGCATAATCCTTCCTCTCTCACCTCTCAAGCTGTTTTAAATTGTGCCCCTCTTGAAGCTGTGTCAAACTGCACCTAAAAAAACAAAAACAAAACAAAACAAAAAAAACATTGTAATTGTACTGCTCAGTGCCGCATTCTGTGGTCTAGTGGAAGCAACACTATGGTGTAAAATCTCTATGCCAGAGCTTGTGACTGCTTCTGTATAAACAAAGGGGACAGCTTCTTTGCATTGTGCATTATGATCCTGAAGTTGTAGTGGTCCATTTCTTTTCTCTCTATGCCTACTCCACACTCCCATCTTGAGTTTCGAACTTGGCTGGAGCTGGCCTCCAGCACCCCAGTGTGCCTCTGAGTGGTATTCAGTGATGGTCAATGCTAACTAACTACCCTAGTTCAGGTCTCACATGTGCACTGGTACTTCTGTCTGACCCTTAAAGTTCCTCCCATTCCCTGCTCAACCTGCTTAGTCTCAGCCTCTTGCTCACATCCAAGTACAGGGTCCCTGTCCATGGCAGTCCCTCTGAAGTCATTCGTTACCTGGACATAAACCCTCACGTCCCTACTCACAGTCCACCTGTGCCACCCTCCAGACCCCCTATAGGTCCACACCCCAAGTCATCAGAGCTCGCAGCTGGATGACCCAAGATCCCACCTGCTACAAGCTCATAGCAGTTGGGCAGAATTTCCAGTTCCAAGCCTAGGCTACCATGATCTCACCTGCCACAGCCATACAACGGGCAAAGCAGAAATCAGTTATATTAATCTTAAAGTGTTTGTTAACCTCACTGAGAAAGAAAACCGTTGCTATCTTTGAAAATAAAGGTTCAGATAGAGAAAAAAAATATCTCTGGGTGTTCCTGGAGAATTTATACTTACTAAAAAATTGTGATCTATCTTGAAATGATACCTCTTTTCTAGACACCAATCTTATCATAGGGCTTAGAATGTAATCATAGTTTGGAAATGTATAGTATACATAAAAAGATTCACTCTCAAATTCAGATAGCCAAATTTACAAAAGAGAAAGCTTCCCATGGCATGCTTCACCATAAGGAAGGCCATCATATTCTAAATAAGGAATTACAGGGCCAGTGCTGTTGCATTCCAGGTAAACCTACAATCTTTAGAAGCACCAACATCCCTTATGGGCACCAGTTTGACTTCTGGATGCTCTTTTTTCAATCCAACACCTTACTAATATGCCTGGAAAATCTGCAAAAGATAGCCCAAATGCTTGGTTCCCTACACCCATGTGAGAGATGCAGAAAAAAACTCCTGGCTCCTGGATTTGGGTCATCTCAGCCTCAGCTACTGTGGCCGTTTGGGGAGTGAAATAGCAGATGAGCTCCATCCATGTACTCTCACTCTCTTTTTCTCTCTCCAGCAACTTTTCCAAATAAATACAAAACTATTTTTAATTTATTTTATTTTGCACATATTTAATTGGCTCTGGGATTTCCCTTACCCCTCCCTAAATCTCCTCTTCCCTACTGTCATTCCCCATATTTTTACTATAGCATAATCCTTCATCAACAATCATGAGTGCATCATTCGCCTATTTAAGTGTATCCTGACATTGTAGGCATGGACATTGGCAGAGTCCAGCATCCTATTGTCAAGACATAGTTAACAGTTTCATTGGGAATCCATCTTTGATTTGGAAGTAGAGATACATACTGCATTATATGTTCACTTCTGCTATGACAGTCTCTATTACACAATTACTGTACATCCCCTTAAATGAAAAGCCATAAAACAAAATCAACAACAGGAAGAAAATTATAAAATTTATAACAAGTTTACGTTAAATACCATGCTACTGAAGGGCCAGTGGTGTCACTGAAGAAATGAAAAAGAAAGTGAAAAACATTCTTAAAGCAAATAATGCTTCTATGTGACCTGAGTCAGTGAAGAATTTAATAAAAGAAAAAAGTATTTAAAAGAAACAAAAACAAAAATTAAAATATCAAATTCCCTGAGATGTAGCAAAATCAGTATTGTAAGGGCTCTTGATTTTGTATTTTACGAGGAGGTTGCCTTATATCAAAGAGAACATGTGGCGTTTGTCATTTTGAGATTGACTTGTTTCACTGAACATAATGGCCTCCAGGTGGGATCATTTGGTTGCAAATGGTAGAATTTCATTCTTTTTAATGATTAAATAGTATTCCATGGAGTAGATGCATCATGATTTCTTTATCCACTCCTCTTTGGATGGGCATCTGTGTTGTGTTCATGTCTTTGCTATTGCAGATTGTGCTGCTGGAAATAAAGGATTATAGATCTGTTTTTCATATGTGGAATTCATTTCTTTTGGATATATTCCTAGCAGTGAAATAGCTGGGTCATACAGCAGGTCAATTTTCAGTTTTATTAGTACTCTCAATACTGACTTCCATAGTGGTTATATTAGCCTATACTCCCACTAACGGTGAAGAAGGGTACCTCTCTCTCCACATTCACGACAGCAGGTGTTTTTAGTAGAGTTGTGAATGTAGGCCAACCTCACTGGGGTGAGGTGGAACCTCAGTGTGGTTTTAATTTGTATTTCCTTGACAGCTGGTGAGCCTGAGCATTTTTTCTATTAGCCACTTGAATTTGTTCTTCTTCAACTTGCTTTTTCAAAATTTTGTTCTTTCAAATTTGTCTTTTTTTAAGTAGAGAATCACAGTTTCCATTTTATGAACTCCTCCTCTTGTCTTTCAGAGAAAGCAAACAGCAACTACCTTGCTCGACTTTGCTTCATACCTTTTCTCCAAAATACCTTCTAAACACATGTGGTACTTTCCAGTTTATATCTGTGAAGTGGCACAGCCTCCTGCACTACTGTGTAGATTATGACTTAACATCTAAACAGTGTTTCAAGCTTTTTGCTCTTTTTATGCTATTTTTTATATATGAGAATAAACCTCTTGTACTGTAATGCAAGACACTGGTTGCACAAGTTAAAGCTGACTCCAAAGTATAACACAGGCATAAAGATGAGGTAATACATTCACAGGATGTCTTGATGCCTATCATGGTATTGATAATTTCAAGCTCAAATAATCAGCATGTTTGTAGTGTGTGTGTGTGTGACAGAGAGAGAGAGAGAGAAAGAGGGAAAGAGAGAGAAATTAATGATCCAGGCTTGTATATATGAGATGATTTTGAAAAGTTCATGAAAAAATGGAGTTAAAGGTAAATTTATTTTGGCTCAGATATATTTTGAAATCCAGGCACTTGAAGCTTTTCACAAGATACTATGCAGGCATTGCAAAATGGATGTGCACGGAAACAAACTTATCTGTAAATTTGATTTTTCAACAACATATTGAAAGCATCCTTGCATTTATCATTCCTTTTATTTTCTGGTTTTTTTTTTCATAAAAATTGTATAAGAAACAATGAAAACATTTAAGACAAATATTTTTAGGTGTCGACTGCATTTTGTTTTTTCATGAGTAGACTATCACATTTATTTATATACTCCATCTTAGTGCTAGCGGTGGTTTCACACACTCAATGTTTTTGTTCACAAAAGCTAAAATCACATTTTTTACAGTATGGCTATAATTTGTCACTACTAAGTTACTCTATTGTGCATACGCAAGTTGAAAAGTTCCTTGAGGACCTAAGGAATTTTTAAAAATGACATATTCAAATACCATGGAGTATAATTCTCCAAACCTCATAATTCAAAACATACTTCTTGAATAGTATTTAAAAGATAAGCAATGCACACCTGTCCAATAAAATTTGAGATTTTTGTTTGTTTGTTTTGGAAAGGCAGATGCACACAAAGAGAAAGATCCTCCATCTGTTGGTTTATTCTCAAATTGCCACAACAGCCAGAACTGAGCCAGTCTGAAGTCAGAAGCCAGGAGACTCTTTTGGGTCTCCCGTGTGGATGCAGGGTCCCAAGGCTTTGGGTTACACCTCACTGCTTTCCCAAGCCACAGGTAAGAAGCTGCATTGGAAGTGGAGCAGCTAGGACACGAACTGGCACCATATGGAATTCAGGAGGATTATCTGTTGAATCATCATACTGGCCCCAAGATTTCATATTCTTTAAAAGCAGATTTTTTCTATCTTTATAACATTTGCACTTAATACTAATACTCATAACAGCACATTGTATCATAAAAATTGCCATTTACTGAGCATTTTCTAAACATACCAAAAATTAAACCAGATTTAATATCCATAATTCCACTTAAATTTTATAATCATGTTATCTCTTCTTAGTATCTGAGGAAACTGAGTATCAGGGAGTGTAAATTTCTGCCCCAGGGGATGGCATTGCGGCACAGTAGGTTAACCTGCTTGCAATGCCAGTGTCCCATATAAGAGGGTCAATACAACTCCCAGTTGCTCAGCTGCCTGATAATGCACGTGGGAAAACAGCAGATAATGGTATGACTACTTAGGTATCTGCTGCCCATGTGGCAACCCAGGAAGGCATTCCAAACTCCTGGCTTTAGCCTGACTCAGCAGCCCTGACTGTTGTAATCAGTAGAAGAAAGAAATCCTTGTCTCTGTTTCTCTCTCTCTCTGCCACTACTCCTCCCTCACTGTGTCACTATGCCTTTCAGACAAATAAATACTATTAGTGTATATCAATACCAATAACAATACAATGTGCATATGTATATGTATATGCATATATGTGCCTCAAATCACACAGGTGATACTTACAGTATCTGGAACTGCCTGACAGACTGGTCTCACTTTATTCTGAGATGTTACATCACCTCTCTTGACAAGCATTCACAATTCTGTCCATTTCCAGAAGCATTTATACAAACAATTCCTTATAAAAGGATATTTAACACTTCTAATTTAAAATATAAAAATAACTATATTACCTACTTTGTATTCCACTTTAAACACATTAAAAATAGGGCCCAGCGCAATGGGTCAATGGCTAAATATTCACCTTGCAAATCCTGGGACCTGTTACCCACCCCAGTTTGTATCCAAGTTGCTCTATTTCCTATCCAGCTTCGTGTTTGTGGCCTGGGAAAGAATAGAGAATGGCTCAAAGCCTGGGACCATGCACCCACATGAGAGACACAAAAAAAGCTCCTGGCTTCAGATTGGCTCAACTGTGGCCATTGAGGCCACTTGAGGAGTGAATCAGCAGATGGAAGATCTTCATTTCTCCTTCTCTGTAAATCTGCCTTTCCAATAAATAAAATTTTAAAAATAAATAATGTTTTAAACACACACACACACACACACACACACACACACACACACACACCAGCACTTAGAATACTGTGATTTATGACTTTTTTAATTGTCTGATAAGATGCTAAAGTCATTCATTCACATTGGAGACTGATAAGTCAAAAATCAGGTAGAATCTCTGAAGTAACAATAAAAAAAAAAAGTAAAACAATGTGGACTAAACATTCCGCATAGCCATCATGATGCTGCTTGAGATAGCCACATCCTGTATCTGAGTATCTGCGATCAAGTTTCAACTCTGGTCCAAATTCCAGTTTCCTGCTAGCATTCATTTAAGGGGCAGAAGATTGATGGTTCAAGGACATGGGTCCTTACCACCCAGATGGAAGATGTAGATTGAGT